AAGGCTTAAAAACGTTAGCTCGGCTGGTCACCAAGTAATCCCAATCATGCTATGCAGAATGGAATTAAGGGGCAATTAAGAGGGTAATTTTTGGTGAAAATTGGGGCGAGCTATGAGATGGACTTTATGGCCCAAAGTAAAAAGGGCCGAAGAATTACTCCGGCCCGAGAGAGATAAGGTTACTCCGGCCAAAAGAGATGAAGTTACTTCGGCTCACGTGCTGCTTACAAACAACCACCTCAATAACAAGCTGTATACAAGAACATAATGCACCTTCTCATTAGTTTTAAATTTGTGATACTTCTGTTAATTTCTTCTCTCAAGTTATTGTCACTACAAAAAATTAAGGTTTTAGAAGCCAAAATTTAGGGACAAAATTATTTTTTAGAGACCAAATAATTTTGTTGGAAAAGTATCGTCATTATAATTTTAGCAACAAAAATTGGACATTAGTGATGAGTTATTATCCTTTTGGGATCAAATTTTTTGTCTCAAAAAATAAATCATTTTGAGACCAAATTATTTTGTCCCTAAAAGTCTATTTATTAGTGACATTTTTAAAATTTTGTTGCTAAATGCCTTATTTTTTACTTTTCGGGACGACCTTTTAACAACTATCCTCATGAAGATGGAAATTGGTCTTTAAATGTCTTTTACAACAAAATTTTCACTTTTAGAGACCAAAACATTTAGTCTCTAAAACTTTTATATGTTGTAGTGTGCCTACCATCTTTTGATTTTGCCATAGCTGATTCCACTTGTTCAAATGTTTGTTTTGGGTTCTTATGTTTGAATTCTAAATTTTTTTAAGACCTATAGGGAATTGAATATTTGAGGGCTTGCATCTTTCTTCTTTTGTTCTGAACTTGGCAAGTTGGTAAATACATAGTACTTTTAGATTAAAAAATGTCTTTTCCAAGCAAGAGCTGCGTCATCACTACCTAAGGTACTAAATTTGTATCTTTTAATTTTTAATTTTTGCAAGGTGGGTTTTTATTTTATTTTTATTCTCTCTTATGTTCTTGGGTTTGATGATGGCAAATACCTGTTAGTTTATATGATGCTGCATAGTTTAATGTTGGATATCCTATGAATGGTGTTGCTTAGTCACATAAAATTGTGTATGTGGAATCATAGAGTATGATTACTGTTGCTTTGTTGCATAAATATTAGTTTGACATGACTGGGCTGTATTGATTGCCATATTCTCATGAGATCCGTGGTTGGTCCTTGGAAAATTTACTTGTTCATGACTTATGCAATATATGATTTGGAAGGATTGCAATTCTTGATCTGGTCTTGATAGATAGCATTACCATTGCTTGATTTTGTTGGTAGTACGAGCTCGTTTGGTAAAGAATACCATTGTGGAATTGTGCACTCCCAAGGGCAGCCCTACGATTTCCATTAGGCGTGTTTTTTTCACTTGGTTTGGTAAGATATTGTTGAGTAGCTTTTGAATTACTGTCTCATTTTCTCCATTGCTTCTACGGGACCTTTCAAGCTTAATGGTGTTCCTCTTAGACATGTAAATCAATCTTATTTGATTGATACTTCGACCAAGGTGGACATCTCTGGCGTCAATGTTGAAAAGTTTTTTTTTTTGGAACTGGACAATGTTGAAAAGTTTGATGACAAGTATTTTGCAAAGCAAGTCGAGAAGAAGAAAAAGAAGGGAGAAGGCGAGTTCTTTGAGGCAAAGAAAGACATTTGCTTATAATCCTTTACTAAAATTGTGAAAAAGGCATTAAATTTTTGTTGTTTTTTTGGACTTATTTAGTTCAAATATTTTTTTGCACTTATTTGGCTTAGATTTGTTTGTTATTACACCAAGCTGCCTTCTTTAGTTAAATTCTTTGGCTTGTACTATAGTTTAGAATCTTGGCAAACGGGGCCTCATAATTGTGTTGAATCTTTCAGTGCATATCTTCTGAAATGCTACGCTTTGGACAAAATATTGATTGTAATTTTTCTCATATTTCAGAATCAAGGAGAAAAAAAAGTAAAACGTCATTTAGAACGCCACTAAATGACGTCATGCGTTAGTTTGTGATGGAAATGGAAGCGGATGTCAAAGATTTTGCGGCATTTTAAAAAACACCGTCTAATAATTTTAATGACGGTTTTCAAACGTTGTAAAGCTATTGCGGCGGTCATATCAACGACGAAACTTTTAAACATTGTTGTAATATTTTACAGCGTTTTTTAGGCTTTTAGCGACATTTTAAAAAACACCACTAAAACTCAAATTTCTTGTAGTGTTTCTAATGATAACACAAAATAAAGGGAAGGGTTATGCTATAGTACACATCTTTATTTTCATGTTATGACATATACATTTCAAATAGTGTATATCATATACACTTTTGATATGTATTTTATGATACATATTAGATATTCTGATAAATAACTAGAAATTGAGGAACATGGCAGCATTTCCTTCCAGTGGCATATGTGATGTAATATGTCCATTGACAAAAGAATCAAATTGGATATTTTTTTAATTCAGTGAATAAAACCTCAATCTAGTTATGCATCTATCGCTGCTTGTGCATGCATGCACTGTACAAATGGGGAAATGCATACTTGATTTTTTTTTTTACACACAAACATCCTTGTTTTCGTTCTTTGGTTCTTGTGACTTGATAATTCTGTCAAGTCCTATTGAAAATATATTGCAAACCAAATCTAGACTCATGAATGTGGCAGCAATTGTTGAATTAACGGCCAAATTAATGATGTAAATTAAATTCCAATCTGATTTGTTTCTTCTTCAATTGAATTCAGCTCAACTAAAGCTAGCCCATAGCCAATTCCTTTACAGTCCTACCTTGTGTGATCAAACAGTAATAATTTTTTCCTAGAAGATTTGATATTAGGAGCTAGTTAATTGTCACTACTCATATTATGAAATTTGTACCTCAAATGTTACACTGATGTGATGGTCTATAGAATATATTCATCTGCTTTAATAGCATTAGTTTTATAAAGAAAGTTATTTCAATTTTACTCAATGCTAAAAGGCAACTTTTGCCAATTTTTTTAAAGAGTGACTAACTTGTCCCTCTCATAGGATGAATTCAATTTCCTTATGATCTTGTCTAATGTGTTTTTTGGGCCACAGATTAATTTTCAATGATGGAAGGGTGAACATGATGAGCCTTCTGATTTATCAACAAAAAAAAAATAATAAAATAAATAAAATTTTATGGGCCTTCTTTGATGGGGAATTAAACCTCCAATTTAAATATGGTTTTTATTTTTAATATTAAATTAGAGATGGTCTCCTTTGTTGCATATTTTTACTAAATTTCAAGTGTCTTAAACCGTGCAGAGCAACTGAGGACCATGGGAAGCTAGCGACAATATACAAGTCGAAGAAGAGGAATGAGATGGTGGAAGAGGGATACTGGATTTTGGGCAACTCTGGAGACCAATGGAGCGATCTTTTGGGTTCATCAGTTTCCATCCGCTCGTTCAAGCTCCCAAATCCCATGTATTATATTCCCTAATTGGACAGGTTCCTATTAAGCTTTTCTAATCCCTTCTAGTCAAACAAATATTTGTACATTCGATTCATTGACTGAAGTTTGCAATTAATATATAAATTGTGCATAACTATACTTGATTTAAGTTTTCAATTGGTATATAAATTGTGCATAATCTCTCTCTCTCTCTCTCTCTCTCTCTCTCTCTCTCTCTGTCTCTCTCTGGCAGTGGCTCATGCATGTATTCAAACTGGTCACTAGTTTCTAAATCAACATTTTGGGATATTATCGACGAAGTACATCAGCTTGGTCCACGGTTTGTCGCCCTATTAATTATGAAGGATTAGGCATTAAAGCCTGACGATGCTTAACCAGCCCTACATGATGAAGTTGGGATGGCACTTATTGAGACATTCTAAATCTTTATGGGCTTTGATGTTTAAATCCAATTATTTCCCTAATGGCACTATCATTTCGACTAAATCTAAACTTTACCAATCATGCTTCACTTAAACTTTTCTTACTCTTGGCAAATGTGGACAACTAGGAATAAAATGCTTCTTGAAAATCAACCTTTACACCTTCACAAGATATCATATGCTGCTAAGTTTGCACTCTCTATTCTGATGAACACTTTTAAAGTACACACTCTCGGTTAACAAACTCGACACGGATGGTGCTTGTCAAGGTAACCCTGGTCGAGCAAGCATTGGTGGCATCTTCAGAGATAATACTGGTCACTGCATTTAAGCTTCGAATATCCCATTGGTACAAGTAACAATACAGCTGAAATTTGGACTATTCAAGCTAACACCCAATGGTTAATTATTGAATCTAATTCATGGAAAACACTACACATCTTTGCAAGCGAAAATCCAATAACTAAAAGATATGCCATGCTTTTAGTTTTCAAGTCATTAAATCATATTCTTCATTGATGTTTGAACATATGTCCTGCAATGTGCTTACTAGGAAATTGAAGAGGTGGATACGGATGAACATTATCGATCTAAATCTCCAATAGGAATCATCAATGTGACTCTGAAAGAGAAGGTTTGAAGGAGGTTTTATCAGTTTAAAGCTTCTTTCAATGGCATGGTTTCCCCATCTTAGATGCCAACGTGCTGATAATCACCAAGCAAGCAAGAGGTTTATGGAAAGTATAAATTTTTAGTCCAGGTATAAATTTCATTTTCTGCTTGTATGTAAAAGACTTGAATTTATTTTTGTCAAACTTTTTCACCAATGTGTGTTACTATAGGGTCGTAAGATAGGTCAATGTGAACCTCATAAGTTGAATTTCGGTTGTACAAATGGGATGGAAGACAATACGTACGAGCGGGTATGTGTTTCATGGTCCAGTACAATTTTTTGTATGGTGTTCATTACATTATGTTTGAACTTATTAATGATATTTTGTTATTATGGTATTTTTAGGTGCCGCAAGGTCAATCCTATTATTTTCCGTGTATGGATGGAACACAAGAGAGCGCATTGCAAATGGTGGACAAAATTGGAAGCTCATCTTTCAGTGAATTAGGAATGGCGAATAGGTTTTGAATAGATTTGGAACAGGTTATATTTGATTCTGAATAGGTTTTGAACAGATTCGGAACAGATTATATTTGGTTTTGAACAGGTTTTGAACAGGTTAATTTCAGATTTTGAACAGATTCTGAACAGGTTAATTTCAGATTTTGTATTTCAGATTCTGAACATGTTAATCTGGTTTTGAACAGGTTCTGAACAGGTTAATGTGGTTTTGAACAGGTTTTGAACAGGTTCTGAAGAGGTTAATTTCAGATTTTGAACAGATTCTGAATAGGTTAATTTCAGATTTTGTATTTCAGATTATAAACATGTTAATCTGGTTTTGAACAGGTTTTGAATAGGTTCTGAACAGGTTAATGTGGTTTACAGGTTTTGAACAGGTTCTGAAGAGGTTAATTTCAGATTTTGAACAGATTCTGAACAGGTTAATTTCAGATTTTGAATTTCAGATTGTGAACATGTTAATCTGGTTTTGAACAGGTTTTGAACAGGTTCTAAAGAGGTTAATTTCAGATTTTGAACAGATTCTGAACAGGTTAATTTCAGATTTTGAATTTCAGATTGTGAACAGGTTAATCTAATTTTCAGATTCAGATTCTGAAGAGGTTAATCTGAATTTCAGATTCAGTCAATTTGTGTAGAATGACAGGTTCAGAAGCAGAATCACAGGTTGATTGTTTGAAGCAGAATGACAGGTTCAGCAGAATGAAGTTCAGAATGATGCAGTCCAGAATTTAAGAATGATGCAGTCCAAAATTACATGAAGTTCAGAATGACGCAGTCCAGAATTTCATAATGATGCATTCCAGAATGAAGCAGCATGGCTATGCACTATTGAAGCAGCATTGAGCAGTCCAAAATGAAGCATTTGGCAATAATATGTAATCTGTTACTGGATATATGTAATCTTTTGCTGGATAATATGTAATTTTTTGGAGTTGTTATAGATTATGATTGTCTAAGTAGCATGGTAAGAGATTACATATTATTAATAACATTTGGCTGTAAGTAGCATAGATTATGAATGTCTAAGTAGCATGGTAAGAGTTAAATTGAGGTCAATATGATGATTGTTGAACAGAGGTTATAGAAATAAATTTAATGGAATTGAGTTTTGCAGTGTTGTCCATCGAAGCTGAAGCTTAAGAAATAAATTTTATTTTGGGTTTCAAGTACCTATATCCTTCTGTTTTCTGTTTAAATGTTTTAATGATTTCATGAATGAAGATGATGGTGAGTTGAATTTAACAATTGTTAGCAGTTATTTATTAGATCAATTAATAATATGGACATTCTTGGGGAAAAAATGACAGTTTGGGTACTAACATGGTGATTCTCGTGCCTTTTTTCTAATAAATTCTTTTACAGGATATGACAAACATAACACTCATGAACCTCCCCACCTTTCCACTTTACTGCCAAACCTTGTCACCACACCACTTTTCCTTAAAAAAGTAATGTTAGAAAGCAGCCAACAAGCTCTAATAATAACACCTGAAACAAAACCTTAAAAGAAGCCAAGTGAAGGAACTATCAGTTGTGCTATGTTATCTATGCACAGATAAGTAGATTTCTTTAATGCCATGTTTGATTTACTAAAGTAAAAGTTTCTTTAGTCTCCTTATAGGATGACCATTCAATTACAATGGTGAATAATTATTTCATAATTCAACATGTCCATTATAGAAATTCAAGAAATTCAACATGTCTGGTATAAAGTCAACAAGTCCAACAAGTCCATTCAATCCATAATAATACATGTCTGGTATAAATTCAACATGTCCGACATCCCATAATCCATTCAATTCAACATGTCCATTCATAATCATCATGTCCATCATAATCCATAAATTCAACATGTCCATTCAATCCATAATCCAACAAGTCCATTCAAGTCCATTCAGTCCATTCAATCAACATGTCTGGTATAAATTCAACATGTCTGACATCATAATTCAACTAGTCCATTCAATCCATATAAGAAATTCATAATTCAATCCATATATGTCTGACATCATAATTCAACAACAAATTCAACAATAATTTCAACCTATCAATAGTAATTGAAAATAGAAGTCCATTGAAGTTACAAAGTTCATTCAATCCATAAGGACATACATCAAATCCATTCAATCCATAAGTACATACATCAAGTCCATTCAATCCATAAGTACATCCATCAAATTCCCCAAAAGCTATGAACTCAGTAGTTTACATTATAAAATATAAAACAATACAAAATACAATGACATAAAGCACGACATTCAATTTCTTCTCCATCTTTCGAAGCCTTCTACCATGCTCCTGAAATTCATTATCCATCTCATAAACCCTTGTGCTTGGATCGTTAAATTCTTCGCTTTTTATAGATGTACGAGGTGCAACATTGGAGATCACGTCGTAGTCATCATCATCTACGAACTTGAAGTAATTGCAGTGTTCCTCACTAATCTACAATGCATGACAATCAGTTAATCAAATCAGGCTAATAAATTTGCAAACAAATTTCCAAACAAATTTCCATAGTACTTACATATTTTAATGTCTTTTGATTTTCTTGTGCAGAATTTAGTTAAGGTTGACATGTTAATCTGAAAGCAAAAATCTGAATCATACATGGACGGAAAATTATGTTTGTCGATTCAAATCTTTAATACTGTGTTATGGGTAGAAATCTTTATGTCTCTTTGGTATGTATTGATTGCTCTCCTCTGAAAACTTGACCCTCGGCAATGTATGGACAACCTCAATGGGAAAGTTAACTGGAGTGATGAAATTTGTTTTCATGGAGAATGTAAGTAGAAGATAATTCATATATCATATAAGACTTTCCTCACCACCAGTACAAGTGAAGGAAAAAAGATGTGATGCTTTATTACCACAGCTTCTTTGGTTGCTTTCTCAAATGAGAAAATTGTCCCTTCTTTATTAGAAGGCTGTATATGCTACCAAGAAGGCTGTGAGAATAGTATTTTCCAGAAATAATTGTTTACTATTAGCAAAATCTATGTTCAATACCAATAAGATTGTGCAACAAATGCAAAACAGCATTGACTTTTTCTTTATCTTTGGTAATAAACAATTATTACAAGGTCTCCTAATATTCATGTGACTTAATCAAGGGGTAACATGTCAGCCACCAACTTTAGGACTGACATGCTGCATGTCACAGAAAGTTTAGGTTATCACATATTATACTAGGATATCTGTGCTTGTCAGAAGAACATTAATTAATGGATTTTTTTGAAAAATTACTAGGCACTTGATTTTTGATACTATTTAGGTTATCTTCATGATAAATCACGCAAATTTGTGCAAATATTCATATATTTATCATGTCATCATAAACAGAATTATATAAAATTTTGAAAAATTACTAGGCACTTGATTTTTGATACTACAATTCCCCCTATGATTCTACCACAGAAAAACATGGACTTTACACTCAAATTGATACACCCAGTTTAGTACTTAAATAAGTTACACTCAAATGGACTTGTAATAAAGCTGAAAAATAGCAATAATATGGACTACTACTCAAAATCGGGCAATTGTTTGGGATTAAATGTAGTTATGGTAGTTTATTAGCTTGAAACAGGAAAACACTATCAACTAAAAAAAAAAAAAAAAAAAAAAAAAAAAACGCGAACAAAACAATAAAGAAAAAACTAGCCATTGTGGCATTTTATCAAACACATAGCAGACCCATAATCAGAAGCATGAGACTTTACTGTGTGTGTGTGTAGAATCACCAACAATTCATTCACTTCAATTATTATATTGGGTAGAATATGAATATCATAATCAAAATACATAACATGTTAATCATTCTGTTTTCTATATTTTTTTTCCCAAATTAAAATCATTCAAGTTGTTCATGGAACCCTTTAAAGTAGAGAAGTTTTGGAGATGTTAGAACTAACGAATGGAATGACTTTAATCTCATCTCAACAATGAATTCCATTTATAGAAACACGTCCGAAAACAGAGTGAGGGTAGAGAATGAGAAACCCAGAGACGAGAGGAGAGAGAGAGGGATAGAGAAAGAGAAACAGAGACAACAAACTGACCTAGAACTCATGATGGTGCTGTAGCTTGATGTCGGTGCAGGATGAACTCACGGTGTGGAGGATGAACCGTCCTCACGGTGGAGGATGAGCTCACGTTGGTCTCTGCTACAGCTTTGTGAAAGAACTATGGATAGATTATTAGGGCACAAAGTTATAACCAAGGAGTTGAAAACAATTTAGGCGCTAAATCAGAATTTTTTTAGTGCTTTAATTTTGGGTTTATGTAAAGACATGGAAAAATATGAAAAAAAATAAAAATAAATCATAATTCATAAATTGGACGGGTAATGTGAAAGTATTCCAGCTAAAAAATAAATTTGTGTGTTTTATGAAATTTTTTAATCGTTAAAATTATAATTTGTTGTAGTGAGACAGAGACAGAGAGAGATATGAGAGGAAACTGATAAACACAAAAAAAAAAAAAAAAAAAAAAAGAGAGAGAAAAAATTAGTGGAGTATTTTTTTTTCATTGCTGCCCAATTTGTCAAAATTTTCCATCCAAAATTAGTGACAAAATAATTTTCTCAGTAAAAGGTCTCAAAATATTAAAAATTACTAGTAACGAAAATATATTTCTCACCAAATAATCTTAAAAGATTTAAAATCAAGTTTTTTTTAAAAACAAAATATAAAATTATTGGTAACAAAAATATATTCTTCACTAATAATTTTATAATTAGTGACAAATTTTTTTCTCACCAAAAGTCTCAAAATTTTGGCGCCACCAAAAAAATTTGGCAGAAAAGCCTTCAATGACGAAACTTAATTTTTTCTCACCTAAAAAGAAGTATTTATTGACGCAAATAAATTTCGTCACCTATTATTTTTATTTTTTTATTATATGTGACAAAATTTTATAATTCGTCACAAATTGTTCTTATTTAGTGACGAAATTTATTTTCTTCACTACTTTTCGTCACCATAGGTTACTTTTGTTATAGTGAAAACAGTGTAACTAAGCATATAAATAATGAATTTTTGAATACTACAACTGTTAAAATACTCACTGGATTCAAGAATCCTCTCACAAAGTTGCATGGGCATGTTGTAACTGCCTATTAGGAATTAAAAATGTAGGCGTAAAGTTGAGGAGGCCAACGCTGCTGCTTCTCCGACGCTGCTCCTCCGCCGCTTGCCGTCGATCGATCGAGAGAGAGAGAGAGAGAGAGAGAGAGAGAAAATTAGGGATTTTTTGGGTTTGACATTAGGGATTTTTTTTTTGGGAGGGGGTGTGGAAGCGGGAATGGGAAAAAAATAAAGGGGGGAGCGGGAATGGAAATCAATTTAGGGGCGGGGATGAAAAATAAAAATAAAAATAAAAAAATAATTAAATAAATTTATTTTTTGTTAAAATATATATTTTTTTTTAGTCACAAATGAAATTTAAATAATAAAATAATGTAGTTTAATTTTATTTTTTTTTTTTTTGCAGCGGGGGTTTCGTCATCAAAAAAATTTATTTTTTGTTAAAAAATATATTTTTTTGTAGTTAATAAATTTTTTTAAAAAAATATTATTATTATTTATTTGGTAGAAGTAGGGGTAATATTTTAATGAAAAATATTTTTCACTAAAATAAAAGTTAATTTTTTGTAGTCAATGAAAAATATTTTTCTGCGGCCTATTTTTTTTTTATTTTTTTTGTTACTAAAAATTATGAACTAATTTTTTGTGATAGAGGAAAGGGAGCGGCAATAGTAGTGAAGATGGTGGATAAGAGATGATGGTGATGGTGATGGTAATGGTGATGGTGATGGTGAAAGAGATTAGTAATGAAGTTGTGGTAATGGTAGTGTAAATGGAATGACAGGGGTAAAGAAGAGGTAATGGTAGTAGTAGTGGCAGTAGTGGTAGTGGTGGTAATGAAGTGGTGGCGATGGCAGTAGTAATGGTAGTCGTAGAGGTGAAGTGGCGACAGTGGAAGTAGTGGTGGTAGTGGAATAACGTTTGTAGTAGTGGTGAAGGTGATAGAGGAGATGGGTGGTGAGAGAGATAAATGAGTGAGAGACAGATAGAGGAGAGAGGAGAGAGAGAGACAGAGTGATGAGC